ACAGATCTTCATTTCCACAGAGAGTTTCACTAAAGTTACCCAGCTTTTAGTTGGTCTCTCCCTTCTGCTGCGTGGCAGGTGTACCCATAATACAAAGGATCTGGAACGGGCCAGATGGACCCTCTGAGAGGAAAGCCAGCCTGAGTTTCGCCTCTGAGAGCTGCTGCAAATGAAGGGTCACACCAGTGACAGCAGTGAGCATCCTTCGGTGTGGGCGTAGGGGGCAGGTCGGGGTAGCTCTTCCCTCAGTTCAGAAGCACTGGCAGCTGTGAAGCTGATGACATTTGGCCTGTCCCCCTCTCCACTGCAACGTCCAGTACCCTCTCCTCGCTCATGCCAAGTTAGCCTTCCACTTCCCCAGCTTAGAGAACCGCTTTTAAAAGTCACTAAAGAGCATCAGAGAACATTGTTTTCCATGTACGGACAATCCATAAACCCATCATCCTACAAGAGCATCGCGTGATTCTTTTATGTTACCTTCAATCTGCAAGTGTGTCTTACACAGTTTTGTGTTCTTGTGCGTTCTGTTTTTACCATCTCCTATCATTTCCCCATGTTCCTATGTGGTCTTAGCTCACCATTTTTAACTTGCTAGAAATGTAATATAATTGGTTAGACCCTTCTTTTTATGTTAGTCCAGTTACTTTGCTAAAACAGGTATGCAACGGGGGAACATATATCAGTTATAATTATATAGTTTTTAGTTTCTGTTTATTGATTTAGACAGAATCCCAAATTAAAGGATCTGACTCTTTTTTGTGATGTTTGCTCTTATAATACTGCTTCTGGAAATGTTATGTCCCATTGCATATGTATAATATGGATCATACCATTTTAAAATAAACTTTTCTTTATTGGGTAAGAAATGGTAAGTCGATGGTAAAAACCAGCTGTTCTTTGCATTTTAAAAATTCCTAATAAGAGTGAATATTTTATAATTCTCCTATAAATTTTACGTTCATGTCATTTACACAGTTATCTCGAGGGATCTTAATGGATATATTTGGATTTGTTGATACACAGACCTCAGTGGTATTCTTGGTATTTAACTTGAAACTAATCAGGGGGAAGGAGACAAATCCAGATTGTGGAACATTCCATAAGACAACATCCTAGGCTCTTCATAAATGTATCATAAAAAGGAAACAAGAAAGCTGTTCTAGACTGAGAAGGCTAAAGAGATATGGCAACTAAATGCAAAGCAGGGGCTCTAAGTAGCTTCTGAAAAAACTCAAAGCTACCACAACTGTAAAGGGCATTTGGGGACAGTTGGAGTAATTTGAATATGAACTTTATATTAGATAATATTATATCAATGTTACATTTCTTAACTCTGATAATTGTGGTTATGTAGGAGGAGAGCTTTGTTCTTAGGAGATGAAGGCTGATATACTTCAGGGTAAGGTGTCGCTGTGTGTGCAGCCCTCAAATGGTTTAGTCAAGCTACATATGTTTGTATCCTATCGTACATTATAAATAATATTATAACATGATCATGCTATAATATTAATTATATTATAATTATACTGTTATATTCATGATATAAATGTAATGATACATTAGCCTATATTATGTAAGTATAAAAATTATAGAAATTTTTCTTAATATGTTTAATATATACTGTGTTGATTTTTATATCCACACCTGTATACATTTATAAATCTGTCATATTCACACCATAGACTCACACATACATACATACGCATGATACATTACCCTACAGGAATAGGATTTTAATGGAGACCCTTGACAGCAGCAGGAAGTGCTGAAGGGATCGGTTTCTGCTGGTGACTCCAGGCCCAGGAGGGAGGTTCTGTGGGCCTGAGGGACCCTTGGCTCCCATGTCCTGAGAAATGGGGGATGGGAGTATTTTCACCAACTGGGGGCCCCATTCCCTTTCTCCTCTCACCTGTCCTGCTGCTTGGCACATGCAGGGCAGGGAGGTCCCCATGGGCAACATGAGGTTTACATGTGTTTCCTTCTCCTGTAGCCTTCTGTTTTCCTATATCTTTGATATAGAATCTCAAAAGGCAGTGTGTGTGTGCTCCAGGGCAGGAGACACAGAAAGGTTGGGGAAGTTCAGTCAGATAATCAGACCTGACTTATGGGAAGTTATTCTTGGCTCTCTGTCTAACCTGCTCCCAGGACCCACCCCTCACTGCTCACAGGTGGTAAGCAGCTTCTCTCCAGGTGTTGAGAGCACACTACCGAGAGCAAGCTTGCTTACTTCCTTCCTCCCTTCCTTCCTCCCTTTTTAACATTTATTTATTCACGAGAGACACAGAGAGAGGCAGAGACACAGGCAGACGGAGAAGCAGGCTCCCTGCAGGGACCTGATATGGGACTCAATCCCAGATCCTGGGATCATGACCTGAGCCAAAGGCAGACACTCAACCACTGAGCTACCCAGGTGCCCCCTGAGAGGTCTTTAAAAGTCAGCAAGTTAATTATTGGGTTGCTATATTTAACATATTAAAATAAATGGAGTTTAGACCTTTGATTTGATTTCTGGTCATTTCTGTAAAAAATTGAGAAAGAGACCCTCGGGGACACCTGTAACCCTGGTTCTAGCAGGGCTCCTTTGAGAAAACTAGATTGGACTCTTCAGCAGTTTATCTGAAAATACAACTTTCCAGGATCAAAATGACTAGTCAATTTGAAGGATTTGCAAACCAGATTGCACCTGAAATGCATGAGGGGTCTGGCTTACTGTTTAAATGTGATCCATGGTAATCTGGTGAAAGCAGTTGAATGTGCATCCTCTGGCCTTGGCAGCCTGGGCCTGGGGTTTTTGTAGATCAGCTTTGTAGCAGGTAAGGGATACTGGAGAGATGTATTTTTTTTAAATTACCATTTTTTTTCCTGCATCTAAAAATGGTAAAATATTCTGAATATAGTGAAAGGAGGGAGCAGAAATGAAAGTCACCTGTAATTGCACAATTGGATGTCCATGGCCAGATTTCTCTGTGTGTGCACATGTCTCTGTGTTAAAACAGAGCAAGGACACTTCCGTGAGGACCTGGTCGGCTGGGTTGTGGTCATTGGCTGCCTCAGGGTAGGAGGTAGGCTTTCCATATTCCATCTCTCTCCATGTCAGAGACATTTTGAAAAAATAAGCGCCAGTTAAAAAGGGGACTCAGGCAAGCTCGAGGAGGGGAAGCTGAGGGGCTGCGGGCAGACGCCCATCTGCGTCATCTGTCCTGAGGATCAGCAGCTCAGCCTTTTTGCTTGGAGGCTGCTTCCCCCCCCCCAAAAGCCAACACTGGGCATGTGCTCCCCATTCTTGCCTCTCCTCCTTGACCCTCCACCCCTACCTGCCTTGTCCATGCTGACAGACTGCCCTCAGATTCTACAGCTATTTTGGCTCACCCAGGTGCCCAAGGGCAGGGAACCATATTTCCAAAAAGGTCTAGGAGGAACCATGTTCCTTCCCCCCAAGACTGACACTGTCATGGTGGCATGTCGGGTGTCGGGGTTCTGGGGAGGTGCACCGGGTGTGGGTCGAGCCTTCCCAGTGCACTTTAAGCAGTGCCATGCAGGCCACCTTCCTGGGCCTGCAGTAGCTCTGGGAACCAGGCAGGAGAGCCAGGGCCTGCCTCCCCTGCCCTCCAGGAAGCCAGAGGCAGCTCAACTCTTACATTATGAGAGCCCCTCAGATGAGTGCTTTGAGGCCTTGCTGTCAGGAGAGTGAGCTGTCCCCCAAAGCATGTGGACAGTGTAATGTTGGCTTCTCCCTCCGCCCTCTGGGTTAGAATCTGGGTTCCACCACTTAGTAGCTGTGTTACCAGAGACAGGTTACATAAGCTCTCTAGCCTCAGTTTGCACATCTGTGAAGTGGGGATACATCAGTACCCTGCATGAAGGTTGTAAGGATTCAGTGGGCACCCGGCACAGACTAAGCCCTTGGGAAGCATTAGCCATCATTCTCATTGTGTTAGTCCGCATGGGCTGCCATAACAAAATAACTGATTTCAACAGCGGAAATTTCTTTCTCATAGTTTTGGAGGCTGAAAGTCTGAGATCAAGATGCCAACCATTAGATGAGGGCCCTCTTCCTGCCTTGTAGACACCAGCCTTCTCACTGGGTGCTCATAAGTTAGTGAGTGAGCTCAGATCGCTACTTCTTCCTATAAGAGCACTAACCCCATCCTGGGAACCCCACTGTCATGACCACTGTCACATTGGCAGGTAGTACATCAATATGTGAATGGGACCGGGTGGTGTGTGTGTGGGGGGACACATACGTTCATTCCATAGCAATCATTATTATTATTTCTGTTGTCGTTTATTAGCCCCCTTGCAGGGCTTTTCTAGGCCTGGGACAACCTCTGATGTGGAGGGAAGGAAGCAGTGGGGACAGTCCTTCCGTCTTCAGTGAGGTCTTAAAGTCCACAGTGGTGGCTCTTGAACCTTCTGGAAAACTACTTTCTCCGTGTTGTGTCTCCCTCTCCTTTTGGCCTCCAGGAAAAGGTTCCTGGTTGTCCTACTCAGGAAGGGGGGAAGGACGAACAGCCAGGTTTATTAGGCAGCTGCTTCTCTGAGCCAGGCAGCTGGGTGCAGACTCCTCGGCACCCTGTGATGTCAGCACTGCCATCCCCATTTACAGAGGGCCAGGCCCTCGGAGGCTCCGGGCAAGGCCACCCCGGCTGTGTAAGGCCACGCTGCTCAGAAGCTGCGATAAAATGTGAACCTTGAGCCTTCTGATCCCACACCCTTGCGATGTGCAGCCGGTCCTCAGGGCAATGGAGCAGCCACAGCTGGAGCAGGACTGGGACTGCGATGGCTTTGGCGGGTGCTGCCGCTGCGGGAAACAGAGGCACGATCGGAGCCTTCCTGCCTCGCAGGGTGCGCCCTGCTGGGTCCGAGGCTCAGACCCCGGAGTCCCTGAGCCAGGGAGCGCTGCCCCCGCGCCTCCCGCTCCGGGCGCCTGCGGTGGGGGGAGGCCTCTTTCAAGGTGTGCTCACTGACCTGTCGTCTTCCCTGCCCTTGTCCCCTTCCAGCCCCTAAAGACAATGAAGAGCGCGTGTTCAGGGAGCGCATGCGGCCCAGGAAGCGGCAGGGGGCCGTCAGGCGGAGGGTCCACCAGGTCAACGGCCACAAGTTCATGGCCACCTACCTTCGGCAGCCCACCTACTGCTCCCACTGCAGAGACTTTATCTGGTAAGACCCTGTCTCCCCGGAACCTCTGGTTACGCCTTCTCTGAGGTGAGAAGTTGGGGAAGAGTTGGAAGAGAATAGAAACTTCGTTTTTAAAGTGCTGATGTGCTTTATTTCTTCTCTATTTGATTGCAGAAGACTTTTCTGGAGGCTAAGGGAGTGTTTCGTCCTGGGGTTGGGGAGTGGGGATAAGTGGGAGGAATGGTGACTTTATACCTAGGATCATGTCATATATCATTGTTTAAGGGGTTACGATCTTATAACCAATAGTGGTATGTTGTGATGTATATGTTTTAAAAAAAGAATCTTTATATTTTAGAGACACAAGCTTAATCATTTAGAAATGAAATGGTGTGATGTTTGGGATTTTTTTTAAAAAAAATACTATATGGAAGGAGGGGAGAGGGGCTAGCAGTAGAGATGAAATAATAATCACCAATCATATATTAATCACTCTTAGAGCTGGGTGATGGATCTGCTACATTTATCTCTTTATTGTTGTACGCTCTGAATTTTTCCATTATAAAGCTTAAAAAAATACTTGACTTGCCAGTATCTGTAATTCAAAGCAGTTCTTAATAACTGTTATAACAGTGGTGCTACTAGGCTGCCCAGATTTCAGAGGAGTGAGAGAGCAGCTGGAGTGCTCAGGGAAGGCTCCCCGGAGGAGGTGGCATTTCTCCTTTCATGATGACTAGGATTTTGATAGGGAAAGACAGGTAGGTTGTAGGCCTTTTTGGGAGGTGGAGAAGGATAAGAAGCACTGGCTTTGGGTATTGGAGGGGGAATTTTAATGAATGCCTACCATGTGCCAGTTTCGTTCTTATGCACTGAAGATATCTAATTAAATCTTTCCAATATCCTACAAACTATGCATTATTAAAGCCATTCTGCTAACAATACTGAGACTCAGAAAACCAGACAAGTATGATGTCCTCCAGCTAGACAGTGATCAGAGACCCAGTTCCACCCCTGGTGAGCCCAACTGAAAGCTTTTCCTGACCTCCCACCAGCCTTTCTGGCAACCTCTCTGAGCTCTTGAAGTTGGCACTTGGATCCCGTGGGGAAGAATGAGTGAGGCCAACCTGCAGCACAAACAAACCAAACCAGGGAACATTTGAATCAGTCTTTGAATTCCCAAGGTGTCTAGGAGTGGCTTGTCTTGTCCTCGTGCTTTTCCAGAACTAGTCACCGAGGTTGGTATGGACATTGGAGGCGATGTGGCTCAGAATACACTCAACCTGACTGAAGCAGAAATAATGCCCCATTCCCACCACAGATACATTTCACCCCTCCTCCCCCCGGGGCCGCTTTACCCTCTGGCCTACATATTCGGTAGTTTGGTCATGAGTTGTGTGTTTGGAGGGAGTAGGTTGTGAAAGCTGAGATTTATGGATTCAGGTCTCCTCTAAGCCCATGGTGAATTCCACCAGGTTCTAGGTTTCCCGAGGCGTAGCCTCTGATGACGTCTGGCTGCTGCTGCTGGACTGAAAATTGCAGATTGTCCCCTGGCCAGTTGGTCATGGTGCTGAGGACAGGGCCCAGGCCAGGCTGGTTGGGTGTTCTGTGTCTATACTGACCCTAACCCTGCCCCAGGGAAGCCTACGTCTGCCCTGGAGGGAACCTCGAGCATTGGTCTTGATCAAACAGTATATTGAACCCCTAATCCTGGCCACAGACTGACCGAGGACCCTTGACTGCTCCTGAAACGCCCAGGGAATGTGCCTATAAGCCGTAGTCCTCCGACATGATTACCCACAAGGAAGGATACATTCGACTAACCAGGACCTGCCTTGAGCAAGCAGAGTCTTCGTGGTTTTCTAGAACACTATAATGGCCCCACTGGAATGGCTGTTTGTCTAGGAAACCAAGCCCTGACACTGACCAAAACTTGTACCCATTCTAAGCACTGGGTCTACCTTCTGTTGCCTCTGAAGGAGTCATTTTTTTCCATGATTTTATTTATTTACTTGGAGTGAGAGAGAGAACACAAGTGGAGGGGAGGGGCAGAGGCAGAAGCAGACTCCCTGCTGAGCAGGAAGCCTGCCACAGGGCTCCATGCCAGGACCCTGGGATCATGACCTGAGCCAAAGGCAGAGGCTCAACTGACTGAGCTACCCCGGTGCCCTGAAGGACGCTGGATTCCACAATGCTTGGTGCATTGTGGGTGGTGGCCAGAATGGGGTGACTGTGTGGTTTTTGACCTACTAAAACTTATTAAAAGGTTGTATTCTTCTTTGCAGGGGTGTCATAGGAAAGCAGGGATACCAATGTCAAGGTAAGAGGCATTGTATGAACCTAATCCTTGGGGGCCCACAGGTCTGTCCAGATCAGTGACACTCCTAGGAAGCATGTGCTGGGTTTGATGACATTTAGAGGCTCTCAACAGTTTGCATGCTTCTGTTCCCTCTCCGAGAAGCAAGACCCTGCTTTTCTGTGTCCCTGCCTGGCCATGGCTCCCTTATTCCTCTGTGGGAGCAGGGATAGGGGAGTACCTTGTGGGTGCCACCTGTCTCCGCTGTCCCAGGGGTCTCAGCACCCCTCCTAGGGAGACACAACAGTTAGAGGCCCTCGGAAGGCCCCACTCTGCACTGAGCTGGGCTCCGTGTGTTCTCTCAGCCCCGTCCCTCTCTCGCTCCCTGAAGAAGTTCCCTCACCTGCCCACTTCACTCTTATCACTCGGTGGTCCTTGCTGATTCTCTCTCTCTCTTTTCTTTTCTTTTTTCTTCTTTCTTTCTTTCTTTCTTTCTTTCTTTCTTTCTTTCTTTCTTTCTTTCTTTTGTGTGTGTGTCTACTGTGGACTTATTAACTCTTCAACATTTAAAACACACTTGACATTATTGCAGTTTGTCAGTTTTCAGTTCTTTGACTATAAAATGCAAGGTCAGGTTGGCTAGGATTGGAGGGTGGATGCGTGCTGTGCTCACGTCAAGGTTTCTCTGCGGGTAGAACTGGGAGACCATTCCATCTCCTTACTCAGGCGCTGGTTAAGTTGGGTGTCACCCCGGGGAGGGACCCTGAGTGGGTTCTCTTGGACATTGCCATGTCCTCAGGGTAGCACGTATGCTACCCTTTTGGCCACCACTGCCCACGCTGCCTCATGACACTGAAGACAGAGCTCCAGGCCCCGGTGAAATGAAGCAAAAGCGTTTAAGACCGTCTGGGCCACAGAACACCCATTCTCCCGCTGCAGTGCTCCCTGTCACACGCGCCAACCCTGACGTGATCTGGGGTGGAGCACAGGACTGCTGCAGTGCCTTTAATAGACCTGCTTCACCGAAGGGAAACCGTGCCCTGACCTTGGCACATAGAAGCGGGGAAATTGATTGGTACGTCTGGAACTAGAGAAAACTGCTGATGCCCTCTGGGTGGAAGCGGTGCGCTCTTCTCCAGAGCATTTAGGGAACCCTGATGGCTCTGATGGCACAGCCACTGCAGGAAGGGCTTCTTTAAGACTGGGGACGGAAGGGGTGTGGCTCCGCTCGTCCCCCTACTGAGACCTGAACCTTGGGGTGCAATCCTTTTACCCCCACTTGTCGCTCAGCCTTCCTTTTTTTTTTTTTCCATCTGCAGTTTGCACTTGTGTGGTTCACAAGCGATGCCATGAGCTCATAATTACGAAGTGTGCTGGATTAAAGAAACAGGAAACTCCCGATGAGGTAAATATTTATAACATTGAACTTCTGGGCTTTCTTCACCGCCACTCCCACCCTCCCCTGCCTCCTCCGGGGTTCCGAAGCAGCTCCTTATCACTCTGAGATCCCCTCGCTTTCTTCCTTGAGTTGATCAGGGTTAAGGGAGTTGTCCGCAGCCTTCCAGCGTGAGGCTCAGTCGACAGAAAGAGTGGGGCTCGGGGTCCGTTTCGTGTCTGTGGATATTATGCCAAGTGCGGTGCAATCCCAGATCCCCAAAGCCTGCGAGGAAAATGTGAATTGTCTTATGTCATTCATTATCTCATTGGAACAGTGAAGTGGCAACTGACATGTAAGTGGCTCCCTGCCGCTCATAAACATCGAGAGAGACACAACACACAAGCGGGAGCCTTATCTTTATGAGGTGAGGGGGGAACAGAGAGGAATTAGCAAACCCCAGAAACACTTAGGAGACGGGAATAACTAGAGTAATAATACCAGCTGACGTTCATGGAGTACGTACCGTGTGCCCATGTAAGTTCTTCAACGCATAGTATTTAATCTCCTAGCAGCCCGAACGAGATGATATGTAGTTATCATCTTCATTTCACAACACAGAGAGCGGAAGCACAGAGAGGTGGCGTTAGCTTGCCCCGGGTCACACAGCTAGTATGGGGAAGGGGAAGAGCCACGTTCAAACCTAGGTGGTCTGTTCCACAGCGTCTGAGCCCTTGACCGCTGGACTTCATCGTCTCGTATTCTTACAACCTAGTATCAGATTGGCTGCTAGGGAAGTCGTTAGGGGTAAGGAAGGGAGACAGTTTAACAGCGAAGGTGGGTTTCTCCTGACTGAGCGATGGGGAGGAGAGTGTGAGTGTGGGCGTTATCTGTGTTCACAGCAGTGGGTTTCCGAGGCCTGCTTTTAATTCTCGGTGAAATAAATAAGTACTGCATGATCATAGGGCATTAGAATTGGGGGGTCAGAGAGACGCCAGGTGGGTTGATAATCAGGTGGATTTATAATTTGGCTTCCAAAAGGATTGACTTACAGGACTTCTTTGACTTAAAAATAATTCACCCAAGTGGCATCTTGGCATCTGAAGTATTTCCTATCCTTTATCTCGTTTCACTTTCACACAGTCTCTGGAAAGCAGTGAGGGACACGGCTTGGATGGAACCTTCTACGTCCCTGAGGGGCAGGCGGCCCAGGGCACCAGGGTTGTTTGCAGGGGCTCTGTTGTCACGGTGGACACTGCAGGTGGTCACCACCCAGGCCTCCTGGATCCAGTGCCAGGATCAGGACCCAAGCACGCTGTCAAGCTCGTTACTCTGATGAGTAAACGAGAGGCAGGTGGCTGGCTTGCTGTCCGTCCATTCCTTCCTGTGCGCAGTCCGCTGAGCACTTCCTGTGTGCTGGGTCTTGTGCCACGTCCCGGAGAAACAGGAACACACGATTCCTTCCCTTCAGGATCTCACAGAATTCTTCTACTGGGCCTTCCAGGCTTCTAGAGCTCTCCACATCTCCTTGGAGGGAGAAGTCCCCAACGGGTTTGTGCTGTGCAGGTTAGAGGCTTGGGGTGTGAAATATCTGTGACAGCTGAGTCTGTGACCAGTTCTTTCTGTCTTTCCTGGCCTGTTGGCAGCGAACATAAGTCACCAGCGAGGTGTGTTCTCAAATTTGGCATGTGTCCCAAGGGAGATAAATTGTCAAGGATCAAGAACAAGGCCGTGGGTTTCTCAGCCCTGTGGAGCTCCTGCCTGGCCCGGGGCTCCTAGGGCCCATCTCCTGGAGCATCAGTGCACCCCCACCCCACCCCTGGGTGATGGATGTGCCCTCTGCGAGTCCAGCACTGCTGGGGAGCGCACCCCGAGCTCATTTCTTCCTGTCACTGCCTGCATGTGTGCACACACCTGCACACCCTGAATACATGGGGCCCTAAGCCCCAAGTATCTGATGTCTTCCTACCGTGAGGTGCTTTGGAACTTTTGCAGCAAGAGCGCCCAGCTGCTCTTCTCTCCCTGTTTCCTGCCTGCACGTTGGCCCTGAGGACACACCTGTCCCTGCACTTCCAAGTGTGCTGACCGCAGGAGGCTCTCCTCTGCATCACCTTCCTTCCTTCCTTTTTTTGACCTTCTGGTTCTGTCTTGCTGCTCTTTTCTTCCTTCCCATACTTCTGCGCTGGTTTCACTCACCCCAGTTTCCAGGTCTTCCCAGCAGGGTGGCGTGTGCACATATGTACCGGCGTGCCTGCCGCCCTTTCTGTGATTGTGGCTCTTGCATGTGACCCGTCCTCCTCCCACCATTCTCTGATACCTTCGAGCCCTTGGTGGATCACGCAGCTGTCACCGCCCCTCACTGAACCTCCTAGTTCCTGGACACTTCCCCACCTCTTCACCTTTGTCTGTCGCCCGCATGCCTCTGAGGTTCTTCCTGGGACCCACGAGTCTGCTCTCAGTGTAGGCCCACCATGTCTTCATCATTTGCAGGAGAAAAGTGGGTGCAGTGATCTGCACCCTTCAGGAAGAGCCGGCAGATGTAGACGTGATGTGACCACATTCACGAATACATCTGCCTCTACTGTAAATCTGGGGAGGCGTGGGCACAGTTGTTGTCAGTAAACCTGGAGATCTTGTACTGGGGCAAGACCCTGAGTGATCGCCCATGCCTCTCAAGCAGGATCAGTGAGATTCTGGCCCAATGGAAGGGTCAGCCTCTCTCTGCCTCACTGTGAAGGCGAGTGACCCTGAGTGCCTGTGCACAGGCATGCCTCATGCCTCTACATTTGGGATCAAGTCCACGTCTACATCTATGTCCATGTCTAGCTTTATCCCCTCCACCTTGCCCCCCACAGGGGCCTTCATTAGCCAGTCCCTGGTGAGCCAAGGATAGATTCTTTGCTGCATGCTCTGCACTCCCTGATTCCCAGATTCAAATGCAAGAGTACTTTCTCCCTGGCCCACGGGGTCTCTGGTGATGGTCTCGCCCGTTTTGAGAGGGACCTGGTTCATGTGTCTGCTCCACTAGAGATGTAGATGGAGAGTGAGTGGCTCTGTGGAGGGCCACAAGAGACCCAGAAAGGTGGGCCAATGCTGACCACCCATCGCTTCTGTGTCTCGTCCACCCCACAGCTCTGTGACATGAGGTGGGATGGGCATGGCATCTTTGTTTGCCAGATAAGGAATCTGAAGCCCCAAGAAGTCAGGAAACTTCCAAGACCTCACAGGTGTTTGGTGGCAGACCCAGGCCTGCAGATCAAACTGCCTGGACTCCTTTTCCCCATCCTCCCACATCCTTCCCCATCCTTCTTACGCCTTCTCTTTACTCTTTTTAAATAATCCATAAATGGCAACACTGCTGGTAGAAGCCCTGGGCTCTGAATTCACACTCGTGGGCATCGAAGCCTGCCTCTGTTACTTATTAGCCTACAGGCAAGCTTCTTTCTCTCATTGTGCCTTAATGTCCCCATCTGTAAACTCAGGCTAACGATGGCACCTACCACACGGGGTGCTGGTAAGGTTTAACTGTGATGATGATGATGATGACACCTGACTTGTGGGCAGTACCTATACCTTCATGTCCTTAGTGGTCACTGCTCTGTATTAGCAGTCTTCACCACAATTATTGCTTGTCCCAACTGACAGCCTACAGTTTCCACAGCTGTGCTGGGTTTTCAGGGCATTTATAGAATCTGTCCACCATCAAGCTGCTGGAAGACAGCCTAGGTGCGGCCTCCATGCACAAAGAAGCATTGAAAAACCCACAGTGATACCTCACTAACAGCCAGAACATGAGGTGCAGATTGAGCGCCGTGTGCCATGAGAGTGTGAATGAAGCCCACAGCCCCAGAGTGATGCTGCCCAGGGGAGCAGGGCCTGGCCTCTCAAGGTCCAATAGTGAGACGGAGAATGAGTTATAAGGGCATCAGGCCCCAAGGCCCTGGGAGGGTCTCTGCACCTTGCTTCTCAGGGCAGCTTTCAGAGCCAGGCTCTGACCTGCCACCTTCAGTGGCCATGTCTTCTGGGTGTGAACGAGCTTTCCAGTGACCCTGTGTTTTGCCATCCCTGCAGGTGGGCTCCCAGCGGTTCAGCGTCAACATGCCTCACAAGTTTGGTATTCACAACTACAAGGTCCCCACCTTCTGCGACCACTGTGGGTCCTTGCTCTGGGGCCTCCTACGGCAGGGTTTGCAGTGCAAAGGTAAGAAAGGTGCTCTGTGCCCTGCCCTAGTTCCCCCCCACCACCACCATACTCTCACATCCCTTTGGTCTCCCCGTAGCCTTTTAAAAAAATTCTTTGTTCTCAGAGCCTCCCAAGTAAATTCCAGGTTTGGCCAGGGGACTGAGCACAAGACCTTGTTACATGCTGCTTAGTCACTCCATGGATTTGTTAAGTAGTCTCTGTGCAGAGAGCGACCAAGGAAACTCCGTAGAGGGAATGCTGAGGAATGTGTGCTTCTCCCATCTTTAAGACCGTGAGGAAGCTGGGAGGCATGAGATGAGTCTATAAAAATGTAGAAATATTTTAAGGAAAAATACATTGTATCAGAAGGGAAGACATATTTCCGGAGTTAGGATCTGAAATGAGTAATGGCTATCTTTCTGTGACAATCTGTGGTTCCGAGCTTATTCTGGAAAGGAGTAAGGTGCTTTCCTAAATGCTAGGATGCTCTTACATCTTATTGATCCCTCACAGGCCCATTACATACTTAGTATTATTCCCATGACCCCGAGGCTCAGAGACCAAGTGACTTGTTCATGTCATGCCGCTTATTAGCAGGAATAAGGTTTGAAACTTGACCCTTGAGTTCTCAAGTTCCTTCTTCTCTTTCCTGCCCATGAATAGCCTTCTGCTCGGATGAGATGGGTAACAGCACATGGTAATATGGGAAGGCAGAAACATGCTGTGGGGGCCTGACTGGAGTGCTTAGATCCATGAGCTGGTCCAGCTGGCATACAGAGTTGGACGTCCACAAACTGTTGGGCCGGAATATTGCATGGCTTTGTACCGAATGTATTATTAATAAATTCCCATTGTGGAAAAATTAGAAAGAGAGATGAAGTATAAAAAAGGAATACTGAGACCGAGAACAGATTGGTCATTGAAGGGATCCCAATGAGAAATTATGACGATTAGGAATAATGTTTGCAGCTGTAGAGGGAATACAGAGAGGAAGAATAACTAAATTGAAGAGTAATCTATTGGATGTGTGACCGCATCCACCTGGGAGGATGGTGACACCATTCGCTGAGAGAGCAAATTCAAGAGGGAATGCAGGTCAGAGGCAAAGATGGTGGAGCTGATTAAGGGCCATGCTAACCGCGAGGTGCCTGTGGGAAATCTACAGGGAGCTGTCCAACTCTTGGGAATTCTCACTGAAATTCTGAGGGAAGTCTACATTGAGTGTTCAGACTTGGGATTTGTCAGTGTAGTGGTTAAAGGTATAGAAGGTAGTAATTGAAGCTGGAAAGTCAGTGTCATCCCCAGAAGTGCCTTGTGTGTGAAGAGAGGATGTAACACCCTGAGATTTGGGGGAGGAAGGTGACTGGCATTCAACGACAAGCCTGCAGAGGCAGTTGAAGAACCTCAGAGGTGGGAGGAGAAGTCTTAAGGAATGGCAGTGTAGAAGTCAAGAGTAAAGAGTATTAAAAAAACATTTAAAGGAAGTGATAAGTGGTGCCAGATGCTTCCAAGAGGCCACTCAAGGTAAGAGGTGGAACATGGGGTTGGATTTAACTATTAGGAGGTCACTAGCGACCTCAGCAGGAGTCATCTTGGTGGGATGGAAGCCTAGGTGTGGAGGCTGAAGCCAGAATGGAAGATGAAGTATCCTCTCAGAATGTTTTCTGTAATGAGGGAAAAGATTATGAAAAAGGAGAAATTAGTGAGCCAAGGGGGAGCAGAGTGGGCCTTGGGGAGAAAGATGGATACCCCTCCTCCCGGCTGGAAGGAAAGCCTGGAGACCAGGCCTGGACACGGATGCATTTCCTATGTTAGGGATGGGAGGTGAGGGGACTAGATGATCCCTTAAGTTCTGAGTCTGTTGAGGTCATTGCAAGGAATTCCCTTGTCTTCTGAACCCGGACATCCCTTTTGAAGTCGAAGTAAGAAGAGGGTGTGGAAGCCATGAGGGGGTGGGGTGGAGGTTAGAAACGGCTGTGCAGGCAACTGAGGGTGTCCTGACTTGGGACAGAAGGAAGTGCTGGCTGTGGACACATCTGCTGTCCCTGGTGAGCTGCCCAGATTTTCAGACCTCCCCGTCCAGTATTCTTGTGCACGACCCTGACACACAAAAAAGCAGGGCCTGCCCGAAATCCTTTTTGACACTAAGTGACATTAAAACAATGGAAGAGGAGGAAATAAATGGATCAGGGCCCAATGAGTGTTGTTAGCAAACATTGATGCACTTGGGAAGGGTTGAGTGGGGCTGCCGGGAAGCACAGAGCCTGCTTTGGATGGGACTCCAATGTCTGGTGTTCAGTAAATATATTAATGATTGATCTGTCTAGGGAGTCTAAATGCAGATAGTGTCATCTCATAAATATTGACATCTTAAGAAAGCAGCCTAGATGCCCAGATGTTGCTGCCAGGACGATGGGGGCCCTGGATGACCCTGGAAGAAGGCAGGGTCCAGGGGTGTGTACTCAGCTGTTTTGGCAGGCAGCACTCTCACGGCTGCTCAAGCAAGAGCGGGGGAGAATGAGGCTACCCGTTCCCAGGAGCCCAGGGCAGTGGGAGGGAGGCAGGCCCACAGACTGCGAGGCCAAGAGTCCCAGCACACGCTCACAGATCTCCTCTCTCCTGTTCGTCTGATATGATGGTGAACTCACCTCCCCTTGCTCCTTTCCTACTCCTGCTACCTACCCCCCACCCCGCCACCCTCAATTAGCAGACTGTTTTTTTAGAGCAGCTATAAGATCTATAGCAAAACTGAGAGAAACGTACGGACATTTTCCATATACCGCCCCACCCCCACGTGCTCACAGCCTCCCCACTGTCAATGAGCCCCCCACCAAGTGGTACGATTGTTACAGCTGCTGAACCTACAGTGGCACGTCATCACCCAGTGTCTTTAGTTTACATTAGGGTTCACTCTTGGTTTTGGACATTCTGTGGGTTTTGACAAACGTATGATGACAGGAATCCACCCTCCTAGTACCCTACAGAATGCTTTCCCTGCCCCAGGTTTGCCGTGTTTCCTTCTCTCTCTCTGTTTTTTTTTTTTAAGATTTATTTATTTATTCATGAGGGGGGGGGGCAGTAACACAGGCAGAGGGAGAAGCAGGCTTTCCGCAGGGAGCCCAATGTGAGACTTGATCCCAGATCCTGGGATCATGACCTGAACCGCAGGCAGCTACCCAACTGCTGAGCCACTCAGGCGTCCCTGAGGTTCTCAACCTCAGGGGTTTGCCACTGCAGACCCCTTACCCTATGGAGAGGGAGATGGTCGCAAGAGGCCAACAGGGGCCCCCTCTTGCCTGGGTTTGAGTCTAGTTCTGCTGCTATGATTACTAAGAAAAAGAAACCAAGAATTAGAGACCTGCCCAGGGTCCTGGAGCATGTTCCTGTGGAGCTGGCACTAAGCCCCCTGACTCTGATTGTGCTCCATGCCCTCTCCTAACTCCAGAAGCCTTTATCAGGTTCCTGCCTTTGCTGGAACATGCCACCTTGATCCCCAAGGTTGGAGCCCTGGTCCCCTTGTCCGTGGCTTCAGCTTTGTTGCCCATCTCACTCCTGGGAATCAAGTCACATACTTTCAATGGAACAGTTTTCTTGAGACCTTGGATCTACAGGAAAGGATCCATGAGACTATCTTGGCAAGTCTAGCTACCTAGACTTGGGGGGAGGGGGGTCAAGGGTTGTGTGTGTACCCCTCTGTCGGCCAGGGATCATCACCCCATTTTACTGGAAGGGTGTGGAGAACTGGAGAGACTGTACAATGTGCACAAGGGTGGATGCAGCCTGGGATGTGTGGGGACCGTCCTATGTCCTCTGTGCTGCCGCCTCCCTGCCCATGGCCTGGAGGCACCGGACCCTGGGAGGATGCTCACAGATAGTCGTTGGGTAACCCAGCTCTAAGTCAGGGGTAGAAAAACACTGGTGCCAAGTGAACAGACAAAATACTTCATTCCTGTCTTTTTTTCTTAGGATTAAGGTGCCCACAGAGTCAGAGTCTCTCTCCAGACTCATTTGTAGGTCTGCCTGAGCACCCCAACCACTGTTAGACCAGAAACTGGCTTCAAACACCCAGATACCAGCATCCATCACTAAGCCCTTGAGGCATTTGAATCATTTCCGTTCTTCACTTCACTTTAACCACACCACTTCCTCACCGGACCTCACCTGCACCGTGAACCTCTCCAGGCCCTTGTGTTACCTGTGTTTTATTTTTCTCTTGACACATGAAGTCAGTCTCCCTGGAGGGAAAGATACCCAAGGCCTTAGGATTTTTGTTTTCTTCTCTAATGAAAGTGAGCGGTTCTCACTCAACTTCTAGCCCACCCCCTACTTCTCTTCCACCCATGATCTCACACTCCCATCTCCAGCACAGCTGCCCTAAAGTCATCTGCACCGAGGCACAAGTTAGCAGAAGGCCAGATCTGTCTATGCAGCTCACAGCATGAACTATAGGGACTTGAGGAAACTCTGCTTTCTTTCTCATGCCTATGTGATGGGGCGGGGGAAGGGGGGAGGCGCAGCCTGCGCCTACCTCTCTGCTCTGATTGCAGCCAGGAATGAAGGCACACTGGAGAAAGGTCTGGCCTAGAGGTTCCCAAAGAGTCCTCTCCCCGGCCCCCTGCCTTTCTTTGAGATCCCATCTTAATAACTGCTGTGATCTGAGGCTGCTTTCCTGGTCTAGGGGATGAGGAATGTGTCCTTTCGTTTGAGGACCAACGACTTAGGGAGCTGTGGCCCATCGGGGTCACAGACTAAGAGTCTGGGAAGCTGTTCTGGTCTTGGTTCCATTATTGCCTGACTGAACAGTTGCAGGGAGGTCACTCTGGCTTGGTGACCTGGGCTTGCTTCTAATCTCAGCTGCCCTTCTGTCTTCTGAGGACTATAATGAAATAATGAACTGAGTGATCTTAGTTGCATACTGTGTGCAGTGGCTGTGGAAAGCCAGGAACGGAAAAGAAAAGAATTTTCTTCCCTTTCTTTACTTCCTTCCTTCTTTCCATCTGTCCTTCCCTCCTCTCTTC